TACATTTCCCATGAAGCATTCCCTTAAGGGGGCAGCTCTCATTCCTAAACTAACAATATACTGTCTAACCAGCACAGCAGGTATGAAAGCCACGTGACTCCAGCCACCAGTCATCTTTGGTTCTATTTGGGTTTGGGTTGACCTACAAAACTGGTTGATATTTTGAACCTGTTGAACTTCTTGTGGTCGTTTGAAGGTTTTTTGTTTTTTTTTGAGTCTTATTGGACTGGAATGGCATTTAAATCCAAGCGAGCGAGTGAATGAGTGAATGAGTGAATGAATGAATGGAGAGCACATTTGCTCTAGTAGTTACAGCATCAGAATAGGAGACTTGTGATTTCTACTCTTGCCTTTGGCATAAAAGATGTCTGAATGACTTTGGTCCAGTCACTCTCCAAGCCCAATTCACCCGTCATGCCACACCATATAACTGTATATACTGTTGTTGCCCTCCACTCCCATCTCCCATCTAATGGCCTGAGAGACAAAATATCAAGTATATTGTTTGAAGCTGACCCAACCCATTTTACCCATCAGCCCACACTCTCAAACGAAGTGCATGCTGGGAAGCCAGACTCCATTTCCTTTAGCATTTGGAGAAGGCTGAAGCACAAAGAAGAACCCATCTTAATCTGTGGCACATGGTCATCCAAGGACGAACCCACATCCACACAGAGAGCATCGGTTGGTGAGATTTAAAGTACTTGTATTTATTGATACGTTCTGCAGTAACTCAATACTGCCTATCTTGTATTTGGTTCTCATTGTATGTATCCCTATTTTCTCCAGTTTCACCATATCCTGTTCTTTCAATGAAGCATTCATATCTACGCACATGGTTTGTTTTATTGGAGGATAGGGTTTAGCTGCAGGTCAAGCTGCTAATGTGTAGTGGGGATAGAACAATCCCACAGGACTGTTGTGGGGGGAAATGGAGGAAGAAGGAGTTTAGGTATGTTCACCCACAAGGTAAGATTTTAAAAAAATAACTGGAGAACAGGTACAACACCCTTTTTAGATGCAGGAATTACCTACCACTTGTGGCTTGCATCAGGCAACATTGATGAAAATAAATTTTGCACCACGTTCCCTGAACTTTATCTGGAATAATAATGGATGGTGATGGTGGATTTCCTCAGAGAAAATGGTTATGTCTTGTTGTTTTTGGTTGTTACCAAGGCAAATGTAAACCTCTATGTTTGAAACTCTAAGGAAAAGCTTGTACTATTTCTTTAGTCAGAGATAAGTTTATTAGCCATTTGATCTCTCTGCTGCTGTTCAGTGAAGTCACTGTCTCTTTAAAGGCTTTGTAAAAAGAAGCAGCCAGGAAAAAAAAGATATCGAGAGTCAACACCACCATTAAAAAAATATTTCTCTTTATTTGCAAATATATTGCATAATTACAGTTTTATACATTTTTACTATTTCATATAATTAGTATAAATAATAATGTATTACATATGTTTCTACATGTGTACAAAGACACAATACTTAGTTCCTTTGGTTTGCTATAAAACATCTGAAAAAACGATAGCATATAATCCTAGAAATTTATGGTCAATTTGTTTTGCCCTAAAATCATTCATTCATTGACATGAGGATTCTGTGAGAGAATTTATTAATCAGATTAAAGGCAGCGAGATCGCTTTAAAATCTGAAGAGATTACTCAAATGGAAACGATTACTTTGTCTTTTTCTTCTTCTTTCACTACTAATACTTAACTTGTGGCAGATGCTCATTGCTTTGAAATGGTCAATTGATTAATCAGTAAAGTTATAGTTAAGTGTCTGCTTCTAATTACCCATATTTGTATTCTGTGCCAAATAATAAAATACCAAACAAAAAAGCTTTAATTTTTATACTTGAAGAAATTGCCAGATTTTATTTTATTGTGAGAAACGACCATGTGTAAACCTTGAGGCTGTGATCCTACAGGTAGTCCTTGACTTGCAACTATTTTCTTAGCAATGGTTCAAAGTTATAGCAGCATTGAAAAAAATGACTTACAGCCAGTCCTCGCACTTACAGCCACCCCCATGGTCATGTGATCAAAATTCAGGCACTTGGCAACCGGCATGTATTTATAATGGTTGCTGCATCCCTGGGTCTTGTGAATGCCATTTGTGACCTTCCCAAACCAGATTCCAACAAGCAAACTCAACCGGGGGGAGGGGGGAGCTGAATTTGTGCCAAAAAGGTCATAAAATCAGGTGCGATTAATTTAAAAACTAACCTTGTTTAGCAATGGAAATTCTGGTTCCCATTGTAGTCATAAGTTGCAGACTACCTGTATTTACCTGAATTGGGCAGGACGTGCCTGTGAACTCAGGGAATCTAGGCAAAAGTCTTAGACTTCAGCCATTCTTGGGGTGAACCCTTCCATGCAATTATCAGCTTTGAATAACAATAATTATATTTACAGGGCAATTTTACTTGTGTTTCCCACGAAATAAGACCGGGTCTTATTTTCTTTTGGGTCCCAAAATAAGCACTAGGGCTTATTTTCAGGGAGGGTTGTCTTATTCTTTTTCCATGTACAGGAGCCCACTTCTGCTTGTTCGTGGGGCAGGAGGCCACGCAGTGCACCAGTGCCGCCACCACAAAACGGGGGGTTGGAGCAGCCTCATGTACCCCACACTGGCTTACCTCAGGGCTCCCACAGCCAGGCCATCCACACCCTGGCATCTGTCTCGCACCAACATACCACTTGGCCTTTTGCTCCGCTGTGGCCGTGAACAAGCAAAAGTGGGCTGGCGGCCACATGGGCTCCTGCTGCACATGGCTGCGAGGCAGGTGTCGGGGCGTGGATGGCCTGGCTGCGGGGGCCACGAGGTAAGGTGGTGCGGGGCACATGGGGTAGCTCCCCCCCCAGTGTCACCTTGTGGCCGCATCACCATGAGCAACCAGACGGAATGGGCAGGTGGTGCTGCAGGCTCTTAAGTAGGGCTTATTTTGGGGGGAGGGTTTATATTAGGTGCACATGCTAAAACATGCTAAGCCTTATTTTTAGGATAGGTCTTATTTTCAGGGAAACAGGGTAGAAAAGGAAAAGATTATAACAGAGGAGCTGGGTTTTCCAAGCACTTCTTGTGTCATTCCAATCAAAGTGCCAAATGGAAAGATGCGATCATATTAGTATCCTTTTTGGCTTTTAAATATGGTCTCCTGAAAGAAATGAATGGTGTCTAACTTTAGGGTATGCCAATGAGCTGAAAAAGTTTGTCAAGACTTCCTAAACTCCATGTCTTACCAGTTTGTACTGTTGTATTAACACATCCTTCCAACAACATATCTAAACCACAGAGCTTTCTATAAATACACAGGCTTCTCCAGTGGCAGAAATGTCGAGAGGATCCCTCTCTTTTTGGGGAAGCAAAATTATTTCCCATTATTTCCAATGGAATTTGGCCTTCGCATTGCATAGCATCCTTGTGACAGCGGTTTTAAAAAGCGTTTTTTACCCAGCCACTGTTTTAGTGCAGATTTGTTAAACTACAGCTTAAAAAGAGAGAGCAAAAATATACCTGTGATTGTCTCATTATAGTGTTACAAATAGTGGATTAAATTGGCATTAATAAAATAGCAATGGCATGATTTAAACAGAGCATGCGTTTAACTGCTACGGCAACCAAGAGGGCTTGATTCCATATACATACATAATCTTTCCATTCAAATTCTGGCTTTATATCATGTTCTCATCAAGTTCCCAATAAAATTCCAGACCTCTAATTGAACTGGTTCATTATTGTACTGTATAGTATAGTACTGTTGAACTCTTCCTTACAACTCTTCCTACAGCCAGTAGGAAGCAAGGATGGACAGCGGAGCTCCAGTTAAAGACTTTCCCTCATCAGGTGCCACTAGCAGGAGACACAATGATTAAGATACCAGAGGCAACTGGGAAGGACTCATCTTGCGGCACTATTACAAGGAGAAACACTGAGTTAATTACAGAATGAGCCATTTGCAAGTTATGAGGTTTGAAAATACCACTTCAGACTATCCACAAATGAGGATATTTTGCAGGTAAATGTTTAAATCTTCTTTTGCACCTGGTTCTATGTTCAGGTGCATACAACTAAGATAAACCTCTCTGGAGAAGAAGGAAGAGTCAAATTCAAACAGAAGAAAAAGTGTTGGACAATAAAATATTTATATAGCTTTATACATTATCAGTGCATGTTTAAAATAGAGTACAACTTTTCAACAGTGCAATCTACAAACTGTTTCAGCCACAGTACTGTAGCCAGCATCTAGGTTTCTTTGCCTCAAGAGTTACACTGATGTATCTGGAGCAACCTTGCCTCTTTCAGAACATTTGCTGTTACAGATGTAAGATTGCCCCTATTGTGATGTTAATCTATTGCATGATGCAGATAAACCTGGTTCTGACAGCTGACCTCCCATGGTCACCTGACTGCATTGGCATTGGTGTTTGGCAACTGGCCCACATTTATGGCTGTTTGACGTGTCCTATGGTCACATAACCATGATTTTCAACTTTTTTTTTTTTTGCTGAAAACCAATATTTTACTTCTGCTTTGGGACAGAAATGCCCCATAGCTTAACCATCACATATGTCAACTCATAAAACATTTTGTATACACATTTTATAGTTGACAACAGAAAGAAGGCGGGGGAGAGTTTCAAAGAGCAGGCAGCAGTGTGGAATTGAAAGTACATTCCATTCATATTTTCTTCAAAGACTGATTAGATGACTGAAGCTTCTGCCACACAAAAATCTAATTCGAGAGTATGATTGATGACTCTTGGCTATGGACGTTTTTCATTGGAGAGGGGTGGGGGGGAAAGCAGGATCAAGGGTGACAGTGAATTACATATCTCAAGAGTTGGCTATGCCCAGGTAAATGCTGGACGTAGAATGTTAACTTCAAATAAATCCTTTTTAGTTTTGGGAGTGTGGCTTGAGGCTCATGATTTAATTGGAGTAGCTGCCAGAATCCTGACATGTTCACTGAAAGACCACTGCAAAAAAAGATCTTAGAATTTGATCAGTGATGCGGGTGGTCTGCTTTATGGCCCTCATGACTTATGACTGTAATGGGCAGGCTCCATTATAGTCATAAATGGGGACTAGCTCTAGTGCCTCAAGCATCAGTGAGGGATTGAATGATTGAGTGCTCCAACTAACCAATTCTTGCATACTAAGGGAAATGCCGACCCAGGAGCTTTCTTTATAGCAGAGCAGCTTTTGTGGTTTCCACATAAAAGGAAGATTATGCTTTTCTAGAGAAAACATTCAAATGTGCAATTTTCAGTGAGACGTTCTAGTTACAAAGATTTCCTTTGCGTGATAATCACTCGTGCGCTGCTGAAAGATTCTGCCACTTTTCTGTTGCTGTTAGTTCTCATTCAATTTGATAAAACCCCTTTTTTTTTCTCCAAGGAAAAAAGAATTTCCAATGAAATTTTTATAGGTCAATTCTGATAAAATTCATATGTCTAATCCGACAAGAAATAGTAATAACCACTCGCTTGGGTGTCTTTGAAGGAGTATTAGATAGGTCCGTGGAAGACAAAACCATCAAAGATGTTCATGATGAAGATGAAATGTTACCCAATTGAGGCCATTATGTCTTCATGGGAAGATTGGTAGAAAAGGCATTTTTCTGTCTCTTTTTTGTGGGCACCTGAGAGACACCTGATTGTCTATTGTAAGAAAGTTCTGAATTAAGATGACTTTGTCCTGTTCTTCTGATGGGTGTTCCATTGCACAATCAACTCTCCAGTTCCTGCTTCCTACACTTTCCTTAAATCCGAAGGAAAGGCACTATAGTGGTACCTTGGTACTTGACTGCTTCAAAACTCATCGAATTTGAGTGTCAATACATTTTGATGTGAAACTGTTCCAGAACTCGATGCATGCAATAGAAGAGGCTGTGAGAAACAGATAGGAAGTCAGACATGCTGGGAAAGTCACTGACATAGGAAAAGGGAAAGACAGAAAGTTCTTCCCAAAACAAAGGATCACATAGTAATCATGTGGTTTGTTTGGGACTCATCCTTTTTAGTACACATTGCACTTCCCAGAATGAATGAATGGTGAGTACCAAGGTACCATCATATGTTAATCTTCTTGTAGGGCTTCTTCAGATTGGGAAGTGTGGGCAGGTAATAAAAATAAGCTCAAAAGTACCCCAATAAGTTCCATATAAAATTCCCAAGCACCCTGAGAGGCAAAAAAAGCCAGAAATCTCTTTGGTACAAGAAGAAACTGCAAGGCAAGATTTTGATATAGCATCATGAATAACCTACCTTGCCTCATTGTTTGTCTGGGCCATAATGTTTAGGGAAAGGAATGTAGTAACTCTCCCGACACATGATCTGACCAACCATTGATTTTTCTACTGCTAAGCTGGGGTGTGTGCAAATAAGCTGGCTTAAGTGACCTGTGGATCATAACTCAACCCCTTCTCACTCTTTCCAAAGCAGGGATCCTTTTTTTTAATGATTGCCTTCTTCAGCTATTCTGGAGTCTTCTGGTATAGTCCTCTGTTTATAGTCTTCTCCAGATCCAACGTCCACATCCTGGTAGTTAGCAAATTCCTGAGGTAGTGGAAACTCCTCTGCTGATGAGTGAGTCCTATGTCCAAAGACCTTCTCTTGCAGCTCAGCAATGTCATTCCTGATATCTGCCATCATCAACAACAAGAAGTCAAAGGAACCTGGTGGCCCCTAAAAGAGTTCCAAAGGAGAGAGTGGCATTACTTGTCTTTCATTGAACTGGGCACTACATCCATTGAACTGGATGTTTTCAGATAGGTTGGCTTCCACTCCCATTATCCCCAGCCATCAACTAGGCCCCAGGCATTTGACTGCCATGGCTAGTAGCAGAAACAAAGCAATTTTTTTTGAGACCATCTTATTTTGCCTTAACTATGCTGGAGTAAAAAGCAATTTTCCAAACACTCCTCTTAACTAATGTCAATTTGACCCAGTGCTATTTATTAATTAATCAAATTTATATAGCCTCCCGTCTTAATAAAAGCAACTCTGGATGGCACACCACAGCCTCTGCTCTGCTTTTCCCAAAAAAGAAATCTCTCTCTAGATAGTTTTAGTTTAACGTTCACTTAGTACAGTGATGGCGAACCGATGGCATGCGTACCACAGGGGGCACACGGAGCCATTAATTCGGGGACGCAAAACAGGCCCATTTCTTGGCCTCCAAAGGCTGCAGAGGCTTCCCTCGAGCCCCTGGGAAGGCGAAAACACCCTCCCCTGGGCTCCAGAGGCCCCCCGGAGGCTGAAAATGGGCACTTCCGGTATTTCCAGAAATCCCGTCTTTCAGCATCCCGAGGCTGCAGAGGCTTTCCCTGAGCCTAAGGCAGGCCCAAAATCAGCTGGGAGACACGTGCATGCACAGTGCAGGTGCAGGCATGCGGGGAGGGGGTGTTGCATGCACATGCACGGGGGCAGGGCGCATTGCCTTCTGGGTGCTGGCACGCACGCGCACATGCAACTTTCAGCACGGGAGCCCAAAAAGGTTAGCCACCACTGGCTTAGTACCTCTGAGCATCATTGAAATTATCTTGCCATACACACTTATTTTTTCAACTAACTTTAAAAAAAAAATGAATTTAGATTTAGATCTATCTATACAAAATCCAGGAAGGGCTCCAATGCTATCAATTATCATGAATTATCGGCTGTAAAACATGGCCACTGTAGGCCCCATATATGCACGTTTCAATTCGCAAATCTTACTACTATAATTGCATATGATAAAAATTGCAAATGCAAATCAACCACTCTGTTCCTGCCTGAGCAGGGGGTTGGACTAGAAGACCTCCAAGGTCCCTTCCAATGCTGTTTTTCTAATTCTAAGTGCGTTAATGCACAGTTTCTTTAACAGAGCAATTTAATTCATATTCAGCAGTTTGCAAGTTCTTGCAAGATGGGTAAGTAGGAAATTAAGACAACCATCAAGACTAACCATCCTGTCTAATATATTTTCCCCTTGTAGTACCCATTTTTCCCTATAAGAAAAGGACACAATAACCTTCCTGTGACCCAAAAAGATGCTGAATCCCCATTCATATATATATATATTTTAAAATAGAAGCCTGCTAGCCATTTGCTTTTTAAAATTCTTGACATTTATCCAGGAACCATTCAAACTCTAAATGTACTTTATTTTAAAGGAATTTCCCACTTGCAAAGAAACCACAACTGAGGAGCACTTATATACGGTTTAACGTATATGACAGTCTATTACATTCTGAAATAAAATTGAAGCTGGTTTACAAAATCCAACCAAAAGCAATTTTCTTGTACAGAAGACATAAAGGCATAATACATTTCACTTGGAAATAATAGCGTCTACTCAACATATAAAACCACCTCAGTGCTAACTAGCCAAAATCATGGAGAACCTACCCAATGAATCAAGGCTTTCATCCTTTCCGGTGATCAAAAGGTTGCAAGGGATAAGGGCAAGATTACCTTTAAAAAGTGGGTAGAT